TCTCTGTGCAAGATAGCTGTAATAAAGACCAGTCACTGCTGCTCTATCTCCTGGTGCAGGGTGACTGGTCTTGTATCCGCCTCCACCCCCTGTAGTTTTTTTGTAGAGTTTGTAGTGGGTGGAGCCTGCTGGATACCTCCTACTGCTCTGCTCTCTGCACAGGCTATAAACAGCACGGTGGTGATGTCAGTACTACTTTGACAAGATGATAACTGTGTTTGTAAAGGCATTTGGATTTACTGTATATCCATTGTGGCTGCTGAGGAACATATTCAAATGAAAGTTTTGTGCCCAGAGCTCACTAGGAAGATACACCTGCAGTAACCTGCAAAGGGTTGTTGAATCTGCTTTTAGCAAGCTGTTGTCCTTGAAGGATTGCCTAGGCCCTGTTATGAGAGAGGGTCTGCATTTGATTAATCTGCAGAGAATCCCTTTAAAGTTTCGGGATTTGGCCTGGCTCTCATTCATTGGCAGATTCTATGTGAAGGGCAACATGAAGCATCGCTCTGCGGAGAACCATGGTTGTCCAAGAGTGGAGTGTGGTGGGGTGGAGGAGACAATGGACCATTTCTTGCTTCTGTGCCCCATCAGTACAGAAGTCTATAAACAGGTGGGTGGGGCTGTGGGTGTCCCTTTCCTTTCCTACTTGAGTTATGCAGAGTGGTCATACGGGACTTTTGAGCTTCATTGGGATTTTGATTTTGAGAAATTTTTTTCTAGTTAGCTTAGCAGTCCGTTACTTCACGTGGAATGCATGATGTCAGGTTTCCACTTGCAAAAAAGTCCTTCCTATTGAGGTGGTGGTGCACAACATTCTGGCTGAGGTTGAGAAAATGCAGGGTCTTGAGAAGGACAGGTGGCGGCCAGAGGCCTGGACAAAGGCATGGAGGAATGTCAGGTCCCCGTAGCTGCTGTCTCTCAGTCTCTAGGTGTGCGTCTTTTATTTCTGTCCTTTGATGTCCCCTAGATTTTTATAAGATCAGATTTTTTAAAAAAGGCTGCATGCATGGATTCAATGTTTAATGGTTTCTTAGCCTGGGGTGTGTTTAGGTGGAGGTTAGGCTTTGCTGAGATGCTTTACAATGATAACAATAATATTAAAATATGAGCAAAAAAGCTGTGTCCTGTGTTCTATGCTGAAGTAAACTATTTTAGTATATATATATATATATATATATATACAGTATATATATATATACACACACACATATATTTTTTTTTCAATGTATTCTGTATATATGTAAATGTGTTGGTATTATGTTGTTTGTAAGATTTTTACTAAACAAAAATTTACACCTGCAGTAAATGTTTGGAGAATGTCACATGCTCTCAAAATCCAGGGCATAATAGAAAACAAAATGTATAGAAACTTACTACAGTTACTTGTGAGTGCAGTAACCTAGTGCAACCAGTTGGAATCTACCATGCACTGGTCTGACTTCAGCAGAGTGAATTTTGATTGGTTTGACTACTAATTAGCACTTGTACATATACAAATATTTTTTTTAATAAAGCTAAAAATGCTGATTTTGTGCTTTGTTGTTGCCTATTAAGCCCATCCCTGCTGCACCGCATTTTGTACAAGTAGTAAAGTTAGGTATTATTGCTCTTTGTGAGTTCTTATATGATGTATCTGATACACAGCATAAGGAACCAGAGGAAGGGTAACTGGAGCAGGAAAATAGAACAACCAGTGATCTTTTGTTTCTTTTTCTTTACTGTGATAGAAAGTAAATGCTAAAAGCAGGTTAGCATTATTTTTTGTCAGGTTTTTTTTAAATTAGTCAAAATTTTACATCTATATTTTTTTAGGTGACAAAGTAATACCACTAATTGTCCCTCAGTGCAGAGAATGCAGGGGCTGCAATGATCCAAATAGCAATATTTGTAACAAATCAGAGTAAGTAAGTTTCTATCTATCTATCTATCTATCTATAAATCTGACAGTCATTTTTGTAATTTTGTATTTTTTTAATCATTTATAAGACAATAAAAAATTAACACTGTGGTTTGATCAATCAGACTTTTAGCAGTTCAGAATAGTTATAATAAAAAAATCTGGTCCTCCCATGCCCAAGGTGGATAGGGCGACAGAGTGGCTAGAGTGGGAGAGGTGGCAGAGTTGTGGGGGTGTAAGACACAGTGTTAAGAGTGGATGGACCAAGGGGGCAGAGAAGAATAGAAAGAGCAGCAGCAGGTGGGTGGACATGTATCAATGTATCAGAGTGGTCATGGAACGAGCATGGGTGGGTGGGTTGACATGTGTCAATGTATTGGAGTGGTCTTTGAACGAGCAGGGGCAGGTGGGTGGACATGTATCAATGTATCAGAGCAGTCGTGGGGGGCAGAGGTTTTAAAAGAGGGGAGGTCCAACAGAGTGGGGGGGGGGGGGGGGGTGAGATATGGTGAGTGGGGGAGGCAGTAGAGTGGTGTGATCAGAAATTTATCTGGTACACAAGCACAAATTTAACTCTTGCACTTCAGAAAGGGTCCCTAAACATGTACAGTCAAAATCAGGAGCAAGAGAGGTTGTAGGCAGGTGTAGGTTTCACTCCATCCAGAAAGTGGTCTCCTGCTACTATATGGATAGAGCAGAGGCTCAGAGGAAGAATATTCTTTTGTGGGCTCTGTAGTCTTCACAGGGAGAGCGGCTGTCTGATTGGATGCTGCAATCCACAGTGACCTTTGGTAGCCATCTTAGGTTGGGCAACCCTATTAAATAGGGTTTGGCACGCATTGTGCAAGTGGACAGGATAGGCACAGGTACCCTGCTAACTAGGGAGAGTGATATAGTGTTAGGGAAAGGTTCCTGCATGGGGATGAATCGCATAGGGATACCGCTGCTTATTCCTAAATTCACAGGCCACCAAAACTGCTGTTGCAGCCCTAAGAATGGTCTCTGAGAGCCGCCAGCTCAGCCTGGCCATTCAGCCAGTCAGCCAACCCTCCAGTAGATGCCTTGCCTGTATAGTGCCTTACTGAGAGCCTGTCGGGTTCTCCACCACTTACCTGTGTGATGCTACAGTATGTGACATACTGGTACACGATAGTGATTCCCTGCTTGCCTTATGCTGCCACACATGTCATTAATCCCTGGACTTTCACACTGACTGGAAGTGCTCTGTGTCAGAGTAAAGTAATAATCATACCTGTGTTGCTGCAACTATCACCACAATTGTTAGTGCAAATGTTACCACAATTATTAATAAGTGTTAATACCGGTGATACCAACAGTATTCTTGTAAGTACTCTTGTAACCTTTTGCCATACTACTTTTCCAAAAAATACCTATACTTTTCCAAATTCCTATACCTCTTACTGGTCTTTGTGTGTTTGCTCTCCCTATATTGTGTACATCAGCTCCTGGTCCCTCCCACAAGGTAGTATCACTACCATGCTCCCAAAAGGCTGTCATCAATATGGTGGTGAAATCCGAGTCCTTATACTGCTACTGCTGCGCATGCATGGGGTCTCCTGCCAAGTCAAATAGTCCCAGACACTGCTCACTTTTGGTCTGGTGAAATACCCTTTTTGATGCTCTAATCATGCCTGGCTTGCAATATTCAAGTGGTACCAGGCAGCAAGTACCACTTTTTTACTCCATGCCAGATGAGCAATAAGACATGCAGAAAGCTTTTCCCATTTCCTTTTGTCACTATTAGGACTGGAAGCAAAAGCAGCATTTGTTGTCTGAGATCATTTGTATATTATAAACCATGAAAACATCTAGGGCATGCTACTATCTATCTATATCTATCTATCTATCTATCTATCTATCTATCTATCTATCTATCTATCTATCTCTCTATCTATACACAGTGAATGTTTGTACAATGGTTGAATGAGGGGTGCAAAAATTGTTCTTGCATATGTTGCCCATTGACATCTTTGTCCATAACTGTCATGTCATGCTATATGATTTCCACAGACTGAATATCCAAATGATATCTATTATATGAGTAGATCACAGAAACCGAAACATAAATGCATTTTGTGGACTGAAAGTTGTTGGTTTGTTCTGAGGGTAGAAAGCTGAACCCCAGACAAACAGCCAAATACATATTACTTGTCAAAGAATGTTTAAAGCAAAATAATATAATATAAAATAAAATAATATCATAATGTGCTAGTATGCATCCCATACTAGCACCTTATGAAAAACCTGCCTTAGAACGAAGCCCTCCAGCAGCAGGGCTTCCATCTTCACCCGGTCTTTCTTCTGGGTTTGCAGGCTCTGGCCGCCTGATAGGCCAAGCTGCGATTGAGTCACTCACGCGCAGAGATCTGAAGGATCGGCGCGGTATGCCGTTTTTTCAGAGCACATGTGCTGGTGACATCATCAGCTGCAGGGACACTAAATAAAGATATTCCTTGTACCTACAAGTAAGCTTTAATATAAACTTACCTGTAGGTACAGGTGTCCAATGGGAATTGACTTCCTTTATAAAGTTGTACAGCCACTTTTGTGATTGACACCTATTTGTTATGTTGCAGACAGGTTTTTTTTTACAGTTGGGGTTCATTTATGAAGCAGTGGTATGGCCTTTGGGACTTCAGAGGGTAATTCACTGCGGCTCCACAGGCTTCACACAATGGCGCACATTTTATGAACAGGCCATAAAATGCATGCCATGGTGTGTGTAACCTGATTAAGTATAATGGACAGCCAATAGTAATCAGTTATAAATCAGTCCCTACTTAGTGTATTTTTATGTCTTCCTGGGGCATTACTGGTCACATTTGGGTTGATTTAATAAATGCATAATCTGGTGCAGCTCCACATAGAAACCAATCAGCTTTCAGTTTTGTTTTTTGTCGAAGCTTAATTGAACAAGCTGAAGTTAGAAGCTAATTGGCTACCATGCACAGCTACACCAGATTTTGCTCTCCCAATTTTGGTAAATCAACCCCAATATGTTTTGAAAGTTTATTAAATTTGTGATTTTTGTTTTTTTGTATAACACCTTTTTTTTTACAGCTTTGGAAAATACCAAGGTCTAATGTCTGACAACACCAGCAGATTTACCTGCAAGGGCCAAGTGGTTTATAATTTTTCTCAACACCAGTACATTTACAGAGTACACTGTGGTGGAGGAATTTTGTGTGGTTAAAATTAATGATGATGCACAACTGGATAAATCCTGTGTGATTGGATGTGGGTTTTCTACTGGCTATGGCTCAGCTATTAACGTAGCTAAGGCAAGTGATAATTCTAATTTTAACTAGAGATTCGTTTAAATTTGTTCATTTATATACATGGTAGATTTTTTGCATACATCATTTTGTGTTATATTATTATTATTATTATTATGCAGTATTTATAAAGCGCCAATAGTTCGCTCAGCGCTGTACATTACAAAGGGGGACAGAACATGTGACAGAACAATACCAATACAATGCAAAACATGAGGGGATTGAGGGTCCTGCTCTTTCGAGCTTACAATCTAGGATAGACATTTTATATATCTGTACTTGACAGTTTATCACTTAGCCAAGCAAAAATGCAGTTCTGTAAAATTCTGTCATGGAACTGGTAAAGTAACTCATGTAAAATTATTTTTCTTGCTGAGACGAAGAGATAGGCATACCAGCCTACCATAGTTTGTGACCTATTGACATTTTTCTTAAAATGCTAACTAATCTAATCTACAGTGTCAGTGACATGCAACAAGTATGCAGAAAATTAAATCTGAATTAATAATACATTTTCTACATACATGTACTTATTTAATGTCAATGGGTCAAACTTCTAAAGCCACTGAGTCAGAATGGCAATGCAACTAGCATTTTCAGACAAAAATGTCAGCAACACGTAGTTCATATTCCACATAGTTTGATTAGTTCACACATATGATTTACATGTGGTTGAAAATAGTACAATATTAAAATGTACAACATTTCAAAAATCTTTTAAAACCCTTACCATCAATACTTTTGGTGCATAATGCATATCATTTGCATTTATGTTTAAACACAGCAGCAAATCACCCTATAGTGACCCAGAAAAGTTATCCACCTCCACCCTTGAAGGCTAATTGAACAAAATAATAAAACTTTTCCCTAAAACAAATAAATGACAATAAAAAAAAAACAACAAAAAAAAAATAAATAAAATAAAAAAACCCACATCAAAATATAAAACCATAAAAAATTGTCCCAAATATCCAAAATTCAAAAAATACAAAAATAATAAATAATCCAAAAAAATGTAATAAATAATCCGAAAAAATATAATAGTCCAGAAAAATAATAATCTAAAAAAATATAATCCCCACAGGTGTAAATAATACTTTTCTTTCTTCTTTCATCAAACACTCCTTCTCAATATCCGCAAATCCTGATGACAGTACACCCTATATCAAAAACATCAAGGCAGGACACCACTCTGGGTTAATTTCTCCTCAAACCGATTTTATCCAATGCTAGGGTTTTTCTTCCATTCTCAAGAAAATTCACAGTCACAGATAGTCTATAACATATCCTCCTTTATTAGTAACTCACATAGAATCTGGGTGAAAACAGCTCCTCCTCAAAGGGATACAAGTGTGGACAGATTCAGGGAAACATTGGCCACATGTTCCCACTTCCAAGATGGCCGCGATCGCACTTCCGGTCAACGTCGATACGTCTGATGCCACGTACATCTGATGCCACGTGTCTCAGACGCGTTTCGTCACCTCCTATGACTTTTTCTGAAAAACAACAAAAGCAACTCCAAAAAACGTATAACTGGGCAAGAAGAAGGGGACTTTAATTTCAGTAAAGTTTAAAATGGTCATAATAGTCAAATTCTTCTTACCCATTCTAACTCTTCCTAACACGACCTTAGGCCACACCTTAGTGGCACACTAAAGGGTGACATTTAGGATCCAAGACCATGGGCACTGCTAGCGCTTGGTACCCAGCACATGATGCCAAGTCTGCTGCTGCCCACTATGTTTCTTTCCTGGTTGCTGTGGGTCTTGGCACCATGAGCTGTTTAAGAAAACATGTTGAAATTAACCCTGGCTCCAGAAAAGCTGTAGTGGAGCAGTGAGAAATGCTGAAGTGACCAGTTGAAAAAGGGAGTAGGCACAGCAGGGGATACAGAGGTGAATGGTCGAAGAGAAGTGCATGGGGTGCAGAGTTATTTAGAGTAAGAGAGGTGAAATTACTGCAGGGGGTGCAGGAGACAACAATGAAAGAGAGGTGCAGGTACTGCAGGAGGGTGCAGATGTGATGCTGCAGGAAGGGTGTAGGCACCTCAGGGGCTGCAGAAGTGAGAGCTGGAGGCATGTTGCAGAGGTGAGTGGTGGAGCAAAGCAGGGTGGTGGAAAAGGAATGCAGGCATTACAGAAGGTGCAAGAGTTAGCAGTGAATGACAGGTGCAGGCAGTGCAAAGGTGAGCAATGGAACAGTGAGGAATGGTTGAGCAGTGGAACAGTGAAAGAGAGGTGCTGGGGGTACAGGGGTGAGCAGTCTATCAGGGGTGCAAGGGGTACAGAGGTGAGTGGTGGACATTGGGTGTAGGCTAGAGTGATAAAAGAGGGGTTCAGAGGTGAGCAGTGAAGCAGAGGTGCAGGGCTACAGAAAGAACACTGGATGAGGGGTGCAAAGATGAGCACTGAAAGAGTTGATCAAGGGGAGCAAAAGTGGGAGGTGGAAGAAGGTGGGGGATGGCATATACAAAACATTTTTTGGGCTGGTAAATTAAATTCTTTCTTTAGACAAGCCTATACTATGTGGTTGTGGGTGGTAAGTTATTTAGGTGTTTGTGTCAGGTAGCAGGAAAGTTTGGTTTACCTCTGCTCAGTAGCCATATCTCCTAAAATGCATGTACCCACTACAGTAGTTGCAAGCATTCCTTGGAAATAAGTCCATTGCTTAGTAAGAAGTGTATGAGAAGCACTTGCAAGCAGTGAATATATGCAGTCAGTCATTTTCAGTTGATATGCTGGTGATTAGATACAGTATGTGCCTCCTGACCTAGTGTCATGTATTGAAATGTAATATTTCCTCACATGACCACATTGAAGCCTCTTGGTCCCAGGTCCCTCATCTAACATTGACAATGTAGCTATTTTAATGCAAATGGTGAGCTTAACCGCTTGCCTACAGGGCACTTATACCCCCTTCCTGCCCAGGCCAATTTCCAGCTCTCAGAGCTGTCACACTTTGAATGACAATTGCGCGGTCTTGCAAAACTGTACCCATATGAAATTTTTAGCATTTGTTTGTGACAGATAGAGCTTTATTTTGGTGGTATTTAATCACCTCTGGGTTTTTTATTTTTTCTTAAACAAACCAAAAACCACTGAAAATTTTGAAAAACAAATGTTTTTTCTTAGTTTTTGTTGTAAAAGTTTGTAAATAAGTGATTTTTCTCCTTCACTGATGTGCGCTAATGAGGCTGCAGTGAAGGGCACTGATAGGCTGCACTGATGGACACTGATAGGTGGCACTGATGGGCACTGATGAGGAGGCACTGGTAGGTGGCACTGATGGGCATTGACAGGCATCACTGATGGGCACTGAAAGGCAGCACTGATAGGCGGCATTGATAGGTGGCACTAACTGGCACTGATAGGCGGCACTGACTGGCACTGATAGGAGGCACTGACGGGCACTGATAGGCGGCACTGATGCTCACTGATAAGTGGCAATGACTGGCACTGATATGCGGCACTGACTGGCACTGATAGGTGGCACTGATTGGCAGCACTGATAGGTGGTACTGATTGGCATTGATAGGTGGCACTGCCTGGCACTGATGGGTGACACTGAAAGGCAGCTCAGATGGGCACTGATATGTGGCATTGATGTGGCACTGGAACGTGGCACTGTTCAGCACTGGCAGCTGGCACTGATGGACACTGACAGGTGGCACTTCTGAGGCCACACTGATCATCAGGGCACACTGATCATCAGTGCCCTGATGATCAGTGTACATGTCCCCTCCGCGAAATGCCGATTACCGGCTCTCCTCTCGAGCTGTCAGCGTGACAGCTCGTGAGGAGAGAAATGCCAATAACCAGCATTTCCCTGTTTACATGTGATCAGCTGTGATTGGACACAGCTGATCACATGACTGAGCCGACATCTTCGGCTCTTTCCGTAGATCTGTGATCCGCTGTGTCCGGGGGACACAGCGCTCCCTGAGCTGCGCATGCACGGTGAGAATGGGAGGACATCATATGATGTCCTCCCAGAACCAGAGAACCACCTTGTGCCCGTCATTGCACTATATGGCGGGCGGGAGGTGGTTAAAGTGTACTTTTATTAAAAACATTTTTTTTTTGGATAGAACCTCTTTCAAGGTTTTATTTCTATATGTGTCCCTGTTGGGGAGATTTATTTCTGTTTGTACTGTGACCATGATCACCAAGAATGAAAGTGAAAATTTTTAGATTTGTCCTTAGTAAAAGAAGTAAGAGTACATTTTCCAATTGGGACACGTGTTCCATGAAAACTATTTGAGAGAGGAATTTGCCTCACTTTAGGGTATTTACTTCCTGTTGCATTTCTGGGACAGGAAGTGAAGGGAAAGCTCAATGAGACACAGATCTCAAAAATAAACTGGCAGGGGTTTTAACCCTTCACTACGCTGTTGAAAAAAATAAAAGTATTGACTGTACATACAGATTAATGTATCCTGTTGCAGGTAACTCCTGGGTCCACCTGTGTTGTGTTTGGGTTAGGTGGCATTGGCCTCTCTGTAGTAATTGGATGTAAAGTTGCTGGAGCTGCAAAAATCATTGGAGTTGACGTAAACAGTGATAAGTTTGCAAGTGCCAAAGAATTGGGAGCTACTGAATGTCTCAATCCAAAAGAATTTGAAGCTCCCATCCATGATGTGTTACTAAAGCTGACCAATGGTGGAGCCAACTACGCTTTTGAGTGCATTGGAAGAACTGATATCATGGTGAGTACCTAATTTGGCTACTTAAATATTGATTCTAATAATTCTGGTTCTTTTTAACAAATCCCCATATATCTGTGCTTTTTTGATCTCTTTTATTCCTTTATATTGGCTTTTTAAAATAATATGCATAGTAATATAGAGCTTAGATAAAAGTTTAGTGCAGCACAACACTTTTGGAAAAAAAATTGTACATTTTGTATAGAAATGTACACATCAGACCAAAAAGAGGAACAACTGAGACTGCACGTGGGACAGAGAAATTTGGTACCAAATGAAGTACAGTTGGGAGCTATGAATTAGATCTGACACCAACACAAACAGGCAGAGCTCATCAAGCATATCATTAGCACTCCCACATTTGTGATGCAACACAGAGGAAATGGCAAGGCATGAGTTGGGCACTTTGTGACCCGAAAGAAGCAGTTGCCTGTGCCTTTTACAGATAGGGACAAGCTAGCTGAATGAATGCATGAACATTGGGGTATTGATTAGCCATGACACTACAAACTGCATCCACATGTGAGCCCAACAATATAAGGTAAGGCAAACTAACAACATAGGGAATATACCGTAACTACATGAATACCTAGTTAATACAATGTAAACATGAAAAAGATTACAACACCTTTGAAAAGTGTAAAAATACTTTTAAGCAGACAACTTTTACATATACTGTATCTTTTAAAGCTAGTAGTAAAACTACAATTTTTGACCTGGTGGTGTGAATATATTAAAGTACCCAAAAATATATGATTTCCTTTGTTTTGTTATATAGCCTTATCATTTTGTATGTGTTAACATACTGTACATTATTATTAAACAAGGCCCTTTTCATGTTAGGCTCTGTCAGTGTCCAAAAATAACAATTGTGCTTTAGAGAATGTGAAGTTTGGCATCCCAGCAAGCGAGTTGAATACTAAATAGTGAAAGATAAATTGGTATGGAAATAATTTGTTCCCAGCTGTGTTTACTTTCAATGCAAAACAAAGGAAAGCAAACTTCAAGCAAAGCAACAATAGTCAGGATATTATTTAATCTCTTCATCTTTCTGTCCTGTGAGTTGCATGACTTGTTCATTCCAGGGTCATCAAAGGACATCCATATTACTATTATATATGTAAACATAGAATCCCACACCTACAATTGTATACTTCTGTGAAAGTGGGGTACTAATGGAGGTATTACTTTTTTGTTCAAAATTATATTCAGGAATTGGGAGTACCGATACAGTGGAGATATGTAATTTAACAATTACCATACATACTTTAAGTATTTGATACTAAAAATGTTATCAGATGTGGCATCAAATGACTAAATAAAACTGATTTCTCAACAGCTGTCAAGTCAAATAATATTGTTTAATCTTCTACCTAAATTGTAATTTTAGTCTGTGATAAAAACCATTTGACCTGGCTTTACAGTTACATTATTTGATGGATCTACTTATTTGTACTGGCTCCTAAAAGGTAACCTTACTGCATACTGACAGGAACAATCAAGTTCCAAGGCAAGCTGGAAATTCGGTCACACAAATTATACAGCTATGAGGCCAACAGTTTTGTACTTGGGAAAAAAATACTCAGCATCAGTATAAGCATCAACAACCCAGCCTTGTTCATAAAGCCAAACATGGAAGGGTTAAAGTAATTTTTTTTTGCTGTCTGCATCCCACTATAGAGATTTTCCTTTATTTTGTTTGCCCTAAAACAAAACAGAAATTGGGAAGAAATCTCTCCAAAATAAGGAGAAATCCCCTAGACAGTTTTCATCAACAGAGATCTCCCCCATTAGAAGATTTCCCTTTAATTGCTATTCCACTGAAATGTTGGGTTTACCTCCACTTTCTAAATCAAGAGGATGAATCTTTCCAATGAGGAGGACACAGACAGCAATAAAAACTTGACAAGGGTTCTAAAACTAAATTCTAAAGCTGGAACAAGCTTTTACAGGAGATACACAATGTTGCTAAATGTTAAAGTTGAACTTCGGGAAAGGAAAACCTTTAAATTGGTTCTAAAGCCTCAAGGTTTTTTTTTACCTTTTTTCAATGTTTTTATTTATTGAAGAAACAACATACAGATTAACAAAACCCACGATTGTGGATGTCAAAATTCCAAGCAATAAGTCCTTGCGAAAATAAATGATACAGTTGTGAAATAAAGGAGTGAAAAAATCGGACTGAGCAATTAAGTATGAGACCTAACAATCCCTCTGCTGCAGTCTGGAGACCAAGAGGATACATCGTAACAATAAACAGGGATGTGGTATATAGTGCACTATGATAATTAAATAACCATACGCATATTCAACCTGTAGTAAAATATCAGTATATATTACAGCAAAAGTGGAATGTTGAAAGCAAAAATGTAGGGAACAATATTGAAGAAGAAAGAGAGAAGAAGAACACAGAAGAAAGAGTAAAGTAAAGGAGGATCAGCCATGAACCCATTAAGGGGTGGAGAGATATTGAATCAATGGATCCGAAGTACTGTCAAATTTTGAAGCATTATTCTTAAGAATACAAGAGAGCGTATCATTAATCATGATCCAATTGAGTTTATTTTTGACATACAGTAATTTGACATAATTTTTGACAATCAAGTGGTAATAGGGACATAATAACCTCAATTAATCAATCATAAATGGACAACTAGCTTGAAGCAAAACATACTTTCTTGGGGGAGAAAAAAAAAGTGGGGAAAGAAACATCCAGGGGGTAAGCAACTAAGGCAAAAAAAGGGGAAAAGGGAAAAAGGTACAGGCAAGAAGAAAATAAACAAAACAAAAAAAAACAACCCCCAAATGAGCTAACAGTGGTAGATAATGTTCCAGTAGGGAACCACGGAGGAGCTACCACATAGAAAGTCCAAGGCACGTCAATGAAGGATTCTCAAGTAGCTCTATGAGAGTATCTCATCTTCTTTGATGGTGAGGCAGACCAGAGTGGTGAAAGTGGCGGAGGCAGAACGTTGGATATTGATTGAGTGTGGGATGAAGGACTATGGGAAATGAAGCCCAGCTGGAGCAAGATCTTTTCTCCTTTGTGAAATATGGAAAAAGCGTAGGGTTCACTGTTGTAGGTACATTGAAGCCTAAATTGTTAGGCCCAACAATAGCGAATGTCCCTCTTTATCAAGGTGGAATGTAGTGGTTTGAAGGATCTTCTATTCTGGATGGTAGTTGGAGAGATATCCGCAAAGATTTGAATTTTGTAGCCAGCAAGTTCCATGTCTGGATTTTCTCTAGCGTATTTCATGACTGCTTCCTTAATCTGGAAGAAGCGTTGTTTGATGATAACGTCTCTAGGAGGCCCCTCCGGTCTGGGGGGAATCAGGACCCTGTGGATGCGGTCAATTTCCATGTGGAGGTCATCAATCTCTGGCACCGCAGATCACATAAGAGACTGAGTAAGGGTAGTGAGATCCTTCACTGATTCCGGGAGTCCCCGGATATGGAAATTGTACCGTCTGGCATGGTTTTCCAGAGCGTCTATTTTAGTGTAAGCTTCTTCCAGTCGGTCCTGTAACTCAGTGATCATGGTAGCATTATGTGACACATTATGGACAGTTGCGTCCACTTTAGATTCAGTGCTATCCAAACGTTGGCCTAATTCCTGGAAGTCCTGCTTTAAATCCACCTCTAATTTAGTAGTAGCCTTATCCAGTTCCCATTGCAACAGATCAGCAAAACGGGCAATAAGGACTGAGTCCCCCGAATACTGCGGCGGAATAGGCGGGGGTGTTGAAGATCCCTCAGGGCTATCCAGATCAGGGTCCACACCACTATTTTGACTGAGGAAAATATCAGCCATCTCCTTATCCAGGACAGAGGTGTGGGAATCATGGCCTAGAGAGCAGGCAGAAGCCTGTGATGGAGATGCAGCAGGACTAGAAGAAGGATTGAGGGATTGCAGAAGGTCACTCACCCCCTTAATAGAAGCCATAGTGCTCAGATCATGTTCTCCAATGCAGGAGGTGCCAGCCTTGGTCGTCTGTGGAAGAGGCTTAACTTGGAGGGAATAACTGCATACCATTGGACCGGAGCCGGGTGCTATCTTGCCACCCCTGCCTGCCACGAAGATTGGGTTCTGTTAGCCGCTCTGGCTCTTCCCAGCCGCATGACCCAGCATGGGGATGAGCTCTATAGTGCCTGGAGTGGACCGAAGCTTGTGCAGAGGTATGGTGCCTGCTGTAGAGCGCTGAATGTACCAGGAGGGTGCGGAGCGGTTTACTGGGACATCTGCTCTGGCCGCCTGCGCATGCGCACCCCAGGTTTTTTTTTTTTTTTTACCTGAATGCATTCTATGGTCCACTTTGAAATGCTTCAGAATGTCGCTGGGCCCTTGCTGTCCTCCTCTACGATGTAGGTCTGCTGGACCTGTATTGTGCGGGACTATGTCAGAGATCTAAAAGCAGGATTGAGGGATCAGGGGACCCATCACAAAAAAAGAGGCCAGCCTGTGGGAGTGAGGAATAAGATAAGCATATTGAATTATTCATCACTCCCTAGGAAAAACAAGCAGTTACCTTTGCAGTCAGGTGGGGACTCACTGCAAGGGTAAAATATGTTAATGACATCATCACATACAATTCAGGACTGGCAGTCCTGTATTGTAAATGAGCATGCTGAAGGCCCACCCACAGCCCAAAGCATTGGAGAAAAAAGTTGAGAGTCAGTACCCAGGGGGATGAAGTTCAAGATAAGTAAAAACTGCATTTAAAGCTATCCTAGGCAAAAATGAGTATTTAACCCTTGCATTGCAGGGGGAGCCCCATGGAAAGGGTAGCTTTTCAATTTTTTCATTAAAATGTATTATAGCTAAATACAATGTAAAGTAATACTCCTAAAAAAAATATAAGTAAAAACTGCATTTAAAGCTATCTTAGGCAAAAATGAGAATTTAACTCTTGGGTTGTAGGGGGAGTCCCACAGAAAGGGTAGTTTTACAATGTTTTCATTAAAATGTATTATAGCTAAATTTAATCTAAAGTAATACTCCTAAAAAATATTCAGAACATAACTTTGGTATATTGTTCTATATTGTTTTAGGTTTCTGCAATTTTGTCCACTTACGCTGGCTCTGGTACCACAGTTATTATTGGAGTATCAACTGAACAAATCACATTTAATCCCATGATACTTCTAAGTGGACGCACCTTGAAAGGAGCTTTATTTGGAGGTAATGAAAATATAATTCATTAATATTTCTTTTATGTGATCCAAAGGACTTTTGACATGTCTGTAATTCCAAATTACTGTTAATCATCCAGCAGCAGGAAAATTACGCATAGAAAATATTTACATTGTCACATCTTTTGTTGAAACTTTATTTCATTTTATTTTGACTGTTGCTGACGTTGTGGATGTACCAGAGACGGACTGACAACTCATGGGGCCCCCAGGCAATAGAGGATCATGGAGCCCCTGTGTCCTTGCCCAAACTCAAAACAGCCTATGAAAAAGGTACCAGGGGCATCTCATGGGGCCCCCTACTGACCCCGGGCCCTCGGGCAGTGCCCGAGTTTCCAAATGGTCAGTCCACCCCTGGTATATACAGTGGATTTCTGTACTCCATTCAAAAGCTAAATAATGTCTTCAAGGAAGAAAAGGAAAATATATTAAAAAAAAACTTAAAAAGGACTAGGAGATTTCTCACTTAAAGTGTTACTAAACCCAGCACCCTGCATCCACTATATATAGTCTCCTACAGTCCATAGAAATTCAATTATTTTAGTAATTATAAATGGCTAAATACCTTTTCTCATCAGCAGTTGGAGCAGTCTTGTGACTTCTATCAGTGTCCAGCAGAGCACTGGTAAAGCTTGTAGGATGAGTTTTCATTCTTCTCTAGGAGGATGCAGGACCTCTGACTTCTGTCTGGACGGTGTTGATCGGCCCTGTGTTTATCACATGCTCCCTCCCAAAGAGAAAAAAAACTCTAGCAATACACACCAAACTGAGCATGTGCAGAGTGACTCTGAACCTCTGTTCTATCAGGAGATGTTTAAAGAACAATGAAAGAAGGGGAGGATCAGAGAAGACAGGATCAAACATCCTTTTTACACAATGTGGGGAATTAACCCCTTAGGTTCCTCAGTGAGTATAAGCATGCTTTACTGCATATACAGACTGATTTTACTTTTGTGGGTTTTGTAACACTTTAAAAGATGTATATAAAGGTAACATTTTTTTTAGTTTTAAGATAGAATGTGGATGGGTTGGAACCTCTATCAGAGTTTTATTGCTGCTTGTGAGGAGAATAACCCCAGTTCTAATGACAGCTGCCTTAACGGGCATTGCCCTTATTTTGGGTGATTTCCTTTCTGTTGCAACACCAGGACTAAAAGTGAAGGGAAATCTCCTCAATAGGACAGATTTTTACATGGGTTCTAACCATTTCCTACTAAGAAAAAAAAGTTTTGCCTCTAAATACATTTTAATAATCACTTCTGGGTTTTAAAACCCTGGGTTAAAAATGGAGGTAACGAAGACTAAACAGGTACTCAGGTGTATTGAAAAGATACAGTAAATACTGTATGTACAAAGGATATCTAGAAATGTACATAAGTAAACATGCCTTTTTCCTGTAACTGTTATTTGTACACTATTCTGTAAATGGACATGTGTACAGGATTTGAACAGTCTGCTAATAACCTCAGCAGACAAAGCAAAAATACTTTTTTTCATATATCATAAAATAGTGCCGTGCATATATCTCTATAACTTCATATATGAATTAAAGCATCCAATCCATGTGATTATGCAACAATAGTGAATACGCTGAATATAACTTAAAAGTCCATAATGTGTGCTTGATCCGTGCGTTTATAATTTGTTCCCAGACAGGTGTTCTTTATTGCCTATATCCACATATATTCCTATAGGTGTTCCTCCACCAGAGACATACATACATACTCTCACCTCCTTTTATGACCCAAATTGCATAGGTCAAATACCGCCTTTCCCTTTTAACTCGGGTGGGTATACTGTGTAGATGAGTCCACTTTCCTCCTCAATGCTGCAAACGGTCTCGTTTCCTTTTTATCCCACATATCCTCTGCATATGTAAACAGAAATGCTTGCCATAGTGTAGTATATAAATATACCGTGATTTATTAAAAAAAAAAAAGAAGAAAAAGCAAAGTGCACTCACATTTAAAAATGTCCTGCTGGGACACCACAGTAAAGAACCTTGTTATAATGTATTTTCATTGTGTTCAGGAATTTCCAAGATGGCGGCTCATAAACGTCCTGTTTAGCAGCTTGACGTCATTGGCCCACTCACATTTTTTTTCATCCTTAGGTTTGAAGAGCAAGGATTGTGTTCCTCAACTTGTATCAGATCTGATATCAGAAAAGTTTAAATTGGATGGTTTGATAACTCACCGATTACCTTTTACTGAAATAAACAAAGGATTTGAGCTTTTGCATAAAGGAGAAAGGTAAGTTGTCAATGTCAGAAATAAAAACAAATAATCTGTTGAAGAATTTGATATTGAGTTAGAAGTACACAGTTCAGTCTTTTGTGCTTTACCTTTATCACAGATTAGCAGGGAGACCTGTATAGAGTGCCTGTACGGCATTGTATTGTGTGTATGTCTGTATACATAGTGCATAGGGCCTTTGCGCCTTGCACAGCATGCACTAAAAGTTCCTATGATCTCTCCAATTGTCCAGTTGTCAAATTACTGTGGTTCACAGAAAGTTTTTTTACAGCCAGGCAAATATGGAATGTACCATATTTTCTGTTTCGCCAGTTGGTGGCTTTAAAAGTTCCTAATCACATTTTCCATTTTCCATTTTCTTCTTATTTCCTGTTGTAGTTGATAGAGTTCAATGGCTCATGCTGAAGTTTACAAAAAGATCTCAGATAAAACTTATTGCCATTTGACAGCTCTATCCCCTTGAACCTTTTCTGAATAGAGACAGCGCCTGAAAGGGAATCATTTGCTACTCTCTCAGCTAACCCATTAGGATGCAAGTGGAAGGGGTTTACATTTCTCCCAGATTTCTCTTCTATGCAGGTTTCAGACAAAGCCAGTTTAGTTCATGAAGGATTACTTACTTGGTCCTCAATATTACTGAGATTTTGGACCCTGTGGGAAAAGAACTCTCCTATTATATTGTGGGCAGAGCCAGGACAAGGGGTGGGCGGGAGGGTCAGCTGCCCTGGGCGCAATGGTTTACTTTAGGGATGGGGGCACCTTCCTTCTGTTACAAGGCTGACAGGAGTAGAGACAACTGCAGTGATTTTGACAAGAGAATGACTGTGGTGCATAGGTGGAACATCATGAACCAGGAAGGGGAGTGGGTGGCACAGTTAGGCATATTTGGGCTGGGCACTGGATGACCTTATCCCGGCACTGAGTGTAGGGTGCTAGGTAAATTTAGCTAGCTCCTCTGTAATCAGAGAAGGGATTGATTGTTAAGGAATGCTCAGTGTTTTCTTTGGACCCAGTGGAAGCATGCTTGGCTGTGTGTACTCTAAGGGGGATATAGGACCAAATTCACTAGCAGCTGTTTAGGGGGTGTGCTACATGTGTAGTAAGTGTGAGAGAGGCAAGGGTTTGGTTTTTTTGCAGCATCAAATAAACATAGGCATCAAAAGTAATAAAACTGATTGTGGCCAGTTTGAAGCCTCATTGGCTGTGTGAAATATAAGTAACTCTTTAAACTTTTCAATAGTTTCCCTTTATTTATTAGTACTAGGTCTTTTGTAAGTGATCCTAACACCAACATGTCATCTGTAAACAACAGCGGCCATGTTAAAGAAAAAACAGTCTTTGCTGCAATACTCACCTTCCCTCTCCATCACTGTTCCCCATCAAGTGAAAAAGAAACTAGTGTGGGGTTTGCACCTAATTAACAAAAGGATTGAAACTGACCTATATCTCTGTCAAATTGCATCTGGTATACAGGATGCGAACTGTCTGCTAATAACCTCAGCATACAACTGACAGGGATCACTGCTCATGCAGTGAATGCACTACACAAGCAGAGCATTCATACAGGCAGGGAAAACTCGCTTCCAGCTAAGAAGGGTAAGGGCTGGAAAAGGGAACAGGATCAAGCAGCACATAGCTCCTACTTAACAAAAGGGTTTGTGCCCTCTCTTTAAATTAGAAGCAAAATATGCTCCATTTCTCACTTTAGATGAGAGGTGCACTCTTTGTTAATTCCTCCCCTTTTTTACAGTTTACCTACAATTTAAAAGTTATTTAAACTAAAAACAAGAATGCAGAGTAAAATAAAAAGTGTTAATGTGTTTTATCCTGGTCTACAGTTTCCATTGGTGATTATCTGAACAGTACACATGTATGTATTGTCCCTATAGTACTTTACTATTTTGAAAGTGAAAATTAGTGGCTTTCAAGCTAAACTCTTCCTGTTTTCTACCGATAAAAAATAAATTAGCCAGTAGCTGTAAAAATAAAAAACAGCTTTTGGCTTTTGCTCCAATACTCACCGACTCTTTGTCACTGACAAACCTCCCTGCAACACACAGTTCTGCAATCTCTTTCTGGAATGAATGACATTATCCAACCCATGTCTCGTAAGCCCAGGCTGTTATAGATACATCCCCTGTGTAGTAGGTTATAATGCCATTCTTGGCTCACAGTACCGCTTTACTGAGCAAAAGTTGGATATGTCTGTTTTTATTCCTTGTGCTTTACTGAGCAGCTTTTTAAAGAGGTACTGCAGGTAAACATCTCAGACTGTATAAATTACAAATAAATATGCTGCTTTACCCCTCAATATTAACCAAAAGATTTCTAATTTTAGTCCGCCATTCTTTAAAGGATAAGTTCACCTTTTGCTAAAAAATAATAAATGACCTATAATGTCACTGGCTACAGCACGATTTTATCAGAAGGTCGTGGCCAATGATTTATGGCTGAGACCTGCTGCAGCCAATCACAGCAGAGAGTCCTGTGTTTGCAAACACACATGGCACTGTACACAGATCAGAGTTCTGACTAATTGTTCTCCCTGCAAAGCAGGGGTTAAAAAGAGCCTTTCGGAGGGCAAGTGCATCATGAGCAACCTCTTGTAGCAACACAACTGTTAGCTATGGCTAGGAAATTGAATACTGTAAAATGTGAAATAATTACATTGCTGGGCTGTTTATCTTTTTGGAACATCATTTAGATTTACACTAATCTCTCAAGAAACATATGAAAAATGTGTAAAGCAAGTAAAGATGGACAGTACAACTTAAAGCCAACAGGGGGCAATGCAGTTATATCTGAAGCACTGACCATGGAAATCAATATGCCCAGAACAAAGTGTGTCCAGAATCTTTTATCTGCAGAAGAGGGGTTTGTTTTCTGTTAACACTACTGAAATTAACCAAGACTGAAATCTCAGACAGGCACATTTCTTAAATTTTATTCTAGTCTTGTCCCTGCATGTGTGATACCACACTTTGAATCAGTGTTAAAATATGAAAGTCTATTATCTACAAAATCAATTCCTAAATTATTGCTTTCTATAACATGATATTCTATGGAGTGAGAAGTAACACAATATAGTAAATGTTATACTGAGAAGATATAAAAGATGTACTCATTCTAAGAAATATTATTACTGGTTACTGGAGGGGGGCAGAGGATGGAAGATTTCAACTACAGAGGGTAGACACCAGCACATGGCACATTTTCCATTCAATGTAAATACCGTTCATTGTGCAGCATTAAACAAAAAATGTAACTAAGGCTTTAAAGATAGCTAATAGTAGCAGCTCAGTGATTCAAATTTATATACTCAGTTTCTACTGTATGCAACTGCACATGTAATGGTTTCTAGGGATTAATAGTAGGATGATCATGAGTTGTGACCACCACAACAAATTTGTCCATGTACTCCCAGTCTAATACAGGATTTTTTTCACTAAAACGTAACTATTCACTATTTGTTAGACCCTTCATTATTCAATACAACAACCCTATCTCAAAACTTAATGTAATTGTACAATTTCAAATGTTTCTGTTGGTATTCGTGTAGTTATATTCCCTGTATTGCTTGTTTGCCTTACCTTGTAATTTTGGGCTCACATTTTGTGGCTCCAGTTTGTAGCGTCAAACTTTGTCCTTGCCTGGTTTGAAGTTACTAAATAGATGTAATGCAACTAACCAGCACATTTTGCGCTTAGTTTACAACTTGGGTCAGTAAAGCACATTGGGGCATGAAGACACAAGTATAATGGAGATTTACCAAGCAGCCTGTCATAAGCATGTCCCTGTGACAAGTGGAACAGCCTCTTGCAGCGAAGGAGTTGTTGTCAGCATTCCCCCTGTGAGCTGCCTGTCTCTCAAAGCAACAGGAGCAGATCAGCACCCCCAGAGATCTGTGGTCTGTGCACAGTTATGGAAGAGGGAAAGTTAATACAGAACACATAAGGAGCCTGTGCTAGGTGCTTGGTACGTCCCCATTCCATTACAGGAGGTAGCGAAGATTTGCTGGATAAGTGGAGTGGGCATAGGCTCAACATGTCCATCCTAAATGCCTCAGAGACAGTATTATTTATTTATTTTTTTCAGGTACTTATATAGCGCCTTCAATTTACATATATATTGTACATTCACATTAGTCCCTAACCCTCAAGGGGTGTACAATCTAAGGTCGTTAACTCACATTCATTCATACATACTAGAGCCAATTTAAACAGGATCCAGTTAACCTACCAGCATGTCTTTGGAGTGTGGGAGGAAACTAGAGTACCCAGAGGAAATCTACGCAGGCACAGGGAGAACATGCAACTCCAGGCAGGTGGCACCATGGTTGGGATTTGAACCAATGCCACTGGTACTGCAAGGCGGAAGTGCTAACCACTTAGCCACTGTGCTGCCATGTATGGTGTACATTGACATGGGGATGAGAGAGTTAACTGGAGTGCAGTTTATTGTTCAAGTGTACACAGTGTATTGAACGGCCATCTCTAAAGTTGGAGGCTCACCTTAAGGTTATCCCTGAATGCAGCTTTAGCCTTGACTCAGGGCATTGCTGGGTACGGCACAGTAAAGGTACTCCATGTGCAAGGCGAGTGACCCAGTCCAAGGTGCCTAGGGTAGCCCAGAAGAACCCGCCCTGGGGTAGGCCTTTCACGTGACCTACACTTGGCACCCTACAAGGAGGGGAACATGGAGAAAGCACTACTCACAACAGCAACAACCCCACAGCCCAGTCTACATCCTTAATGAAGTCTAAGTTAGATGTGGTAACCAAGGTGAACTGGTTAAGGGATCCAAGGCCCAAGGACAAATTGCTAGGAATCTAGAAATGGATTACTCTGATTGGAGGGTGCTCTCCATATTAACTGGGTCTTCTGGGGAAGATGTGTGTTATTAGTCTCTTGCCTGGCCACCCCACATGCCAATTCTGACAGTGGAGGACAGCTCACCTGTCTGCAGATTACTTGCCCAGCTACCTCTGCCTCATCAGCTGTG